TTATATTTTTATATATTTTATGTACTGGAATTACTAACTGTTTATAATTAATTTCATTAAATTTTTTACATTTCATGTTTTGATAATTGATTCACTAGCATGCATGCAGTTTATGTATATTAGTCAGATAGTCTAAAAGTTGTATAAACAACAAATTTCGAATATAGAACAGAAGTCATCTCTTTTCGTTAAATATATAAGGATTGGAATATACCTTTAATAAAAATAGTAGTAATAGGTGATATATTAGCACAATTATGAAATTTTATTGAGAAAAATATCACAAAATTTTGTATATCTTCAAATAGCATTAGGATGAAGTACCAAAAAAAAAAAAAAANNNNATAAATAAATAAATAAAAGAAAGAAAGAATCAACGGCTCGGTATATTTATAAAACTATATATTTAACAATAAGTTTTCTCATAACACATTTTGTACTTTCCTGCCTGCTTTTCATACAGAAAAACATAACATTTTTCTAAAATAGGAACTATGTTTGCATGAACAGTGTGTCTCTCACGCATTAAATATGTTCATGTATTGAGAACAAGAAGTTATTTATTTTCCTTCGTTGAATTATTTCCTTATACATTTATTATTAAATATAGAAGACTGCTATTGGGGCTTATACTTCGTTATTAGCCTTTTTTTTAGTAATTACATATATATGCACATATTGTATGTGAACTATTTTATAATATCTCTCGTTTGATGCTTCGTCATTGCGTTTTTAAAATAATTTTAGACGAATGCTAGTTTATATGCATATGAGATATCTGCAATAATTTCGCCAAAAATATATGTTCAGAATTTTGTGATGCTCCATTTTGAATTAGTGAAAAGTGTAAAACAGGAATTTTTAGAAACTACTGAGGGAATGCTTTTTAAAAAGTTGAACCTCATAATTCTACATAACTGCTTTATTATTATGTTAAAATGTTTCTAATTTAAAATATCTATGCATTATTGAACATACCATAATTTTATTTTTTCTAATATGTACACATTAAAAAACATTTCTCCCAGTTACACTTTCTGTGAATTTCTTTTTTTTTTTTTTTCTACAAATACATTCTTGAACTTTACACTTTTTAGATTATACATATGATTATGTAAATGTAGCAGTACTCATATGACATATTTCATAATGACTATTTACTTATTACAATTGTTATTTCCAACGTTAAGGATATAAAAAAACAGAAAGCGAGAAGTAATAATTTATCATCCTGTATAAATGAAAAAAAAATTATTTAGTAAAAACATCGACATAAGAAGTAGAAACATTTGAAAGCATTGATTTTATTTTTTTTAGGGAAAATAAGTTCGACCTGGACCATTTTACTAATACAGATCGTAGAAAAGAAGAAGAAAATTAAATACCTAGCATATGTATGACTTATATGTATATTGTGATATATTTAATCAAAGATGCTACTATTGTCCAAGGTGATAGCAATGTCACCATGTGAAGCTAAAAGAGTTTCACTTGGCATCGCGCGCTTTACGTATCCATTTTTTTGACAACAAATAGTTTCACATATATTATGTGCGGATAATTTTTTAGAATAATTTCAAAAAGTGACACTTTTCTCTCTGATAAAATAGAATTCTTCCGTCCTTCATTATATACGTCTACACATGTGAAATTCCCCTTGTGATTAATTCATCATAAATTTATATTTCTTCTCTACTTTTTATATAAACCAAACTTGTACAGATTTATAATACTTCAGTGTTCTGTACAATTAATTCCATTTATTTTGTCCCACCAATGTACTGAATTTTTTTGGTAATTTAAAAATGTATTTATGAGTTCTTTATTAGTATAATATAAGAATTGAGTCCTTTACGATTTGAATTCGTCGAATTATGGTATTATTTAATTAATCATATAAAACAAAATGAATGATACTGTGAGAAATTAAAGTTTTATTTCATGAGAGTTTTAAAATTAGTTAAAATAAAACGCACAGTGTTACTGATTTATGATGGGACTGTTCAATTGTTAGTTACACAAATTGACTTAGCATTCTCGTTCTTTTTTAGAATCTAGATAAAAAAAATAAATCAGCAGTTTATTCATTTCTTACTATTAAAAACATATCATATATATAATTTTTTTTTTAATATAAAAAAAAAATCTTAGCACTAATTTTGTTATACTCCTTTAGAAATATTTAAATAATTTTTTTTTGTTGTTTTGTTTTACCACCACGTTAACTACCTGCTATTATTTTGTTCACATTTAGCAATTGAACTCCTTTTTTTTTTTTTTTT